TGTGAGTGAATGGCGTGTGAATGAATGGCCTGTGAGTGAATGGCGTGTGAATGAATGGTGTGTGAGTGAATGGCCTGTGAGTGAATGACATGTGAGTGAATGGCCTGTGAGTGAATGGCCTATGAGTGAATGACGTGTGAGTGAATGGCGTGTGAATGAATGGTGTGTGAGTGAATGGCCTGTGAGTGAATGACATGTGAGTGAATGTGTGTGAGTGAATGACATGTGAGTGAATGACGTGTGAGTGAATGGTGTGTGAGTGAATGACGTGTGAGTGAATGGTGTGTGAGTGAATGACGTGTGAGTGAATGGTGTGTGANGAGTGAATGACGTGTGAGTGAATGGTGTGTGAGTGAATGACGTGTGAGTGAATGGTGTGTGAGTGAATGACGTGTGAGTGAATGGTGTGTGAGTGTGCTCTGCAATGGGTTGATACCCCATCCTGCGATGTTCCCTACCTTGGACCCATAGGCTCCAGAACCCCTATGAACCTGAACTGGATGGATGGATGGAATTAAATTAAACACTAACATGCAATATTTCCATCAGAACTCAGATTCATACTGTACATTGTATGTTTGTGTAAAGTTTTACAAGTTCAAGTTATTAAACCCAAAAAAGTTTGCAAACTTTATTTTAACACAGAGTGGAATATTTTCGGACGTAGTGTCTGTGCTCGACAAGCTGATAAGTCTTCGACACAAACTACAGGCTCTTTTCTGATTTGTTTAGGAAATCAGTCTCCTCAGCTCCCGGTGAAGAATATTTCATTTAGGATTATTAATTTTTGTGCTGCAGGTATAAATAGCTAGTTTAATTACACACAGGATTGGAAGAATGCAGTGCTCCGTGGCTCAAAGCCACACGCCTTCCGCTCCGAAAAATCAGCCCGCCACTGGAGACGGGGACCTTTTCACAGCTGCGCGCTAAACAAGATCATTCCTCACTCCCTGCTCCCCCTCAGACATCTGCTTGTCACCGTCGTGTCAGCTTGTCACACGGAAAAAAAAAGACAAAAATAGCAAAGCATTTTGAACCGAAATGGAATCGCGGCATGATGGAAACGGAAGCGGGCATATCGCTGAACAGCTACGGCGCGAGACGCATAAACGGAAGCGGGCATATCGCTGAACAGCTACGGCGCGAGACGCATAAACGGAAGCGGGCATATCGCTGAACAGCTACGGCTTGAGACGTGTATCCGGGTGACTTCTGATCTCGGTATAACATGGGTCATTGCATGTTTTGTTAAACGAAGTAAAAAGCACCCCTCCCCCCCCAGCCGGGGCCTGTCCGCCTTCTGCAGTGTTCCCTAGCTCACTGGCTGACAGCTGGGGTGTCAGGAATCCCAGTGGGGCGCTTCATCACCACTCCCAAATTACAAAGTGGGCCTGTGGGATGGACCAGTGTGCTGATGAAACCCTGACAGAGATGGATGACGGGGCCACTTATTTATTTATTAGTGCCGCCAGATGCAGCGTGTGAGCGAGAGGCCCACCGCTGACGGCGGGGTGCAGGGCCGGCACATCGATCTCCGCACCGGGCTGATGCTGCTATTAGTGACTGACAGTGAGACTTGTGATCCTCTGTGATAGCAGGGAAGGCACGCTCAAATTGTTACATGGGTTTAGGAAAATGTCACATAATTTTCTGCTTTGTCACCCCCCCATAACACTTACACAAAGTGTCATTAACACGGCATGACATCGTTTTCGCATGTATGCTCTCTTTCCTACAGAAACTTAAATTCGCTGGTCCCTCAGGCCAGAACGGGGTCTATTACATAGAAACATCATGGTAATTTCTGGTTCCTCTCTTCTTTGTTACAATCACAGGTATGGCCTGTGTTCATTATTTATACCATACATGTCTACTATTGAATAGATGCACGAATGTGCAGTTTTCTACTTAATGTGCATCCCCTTATTTATCACACACATTCATCTTCTATAACCACTTATCCTATTCAGAGTCACGGGGGGGGGGGGGGGGGGGGTGGTCCAGAGCCTACAGATACAAGGCAGGCAAAACCCAGGATGGGGCACCAACCCATCAGAGAGCAAACTCACTCATGCACACTTATGGGAAATTTGGTAACTCCAATTAGCTTCAGCATGTTTTTGGACTGTGGGGGGAAATTGGAATACCCAGAGGAAACCAGAGGTGCAAGGTTTTAGTACTTGTGCATTATTTTGCACTTTCTGAGTAGATTCCGAACCGTGTTTCGATGGCTGAGTACTTGTACTTTACACAACGATAATAAAACTGAATCTAATGTAGCACCTTTGCCAATATGTCCCAGTGTCAAGCATTTCCCTCAGAGATCAAAAAGGTTCTAATTCTAATATCCTATTGTGACACTAGTCAGATAGTTAGGTGGGATCATAAAATGACAAAAATATGTCTATGCACATATGCAGCTGGGCAGGGACATAGACCCACCTGCATGTCCATTTCCCGCCAGAATCGCTCAGCATTACACCGGCCTATCAGGGCGGCAGCCATTTTTTGCATATGGTTTATGATTGGCCACAGGACTACGCCTGCCAATTCCCACCTTCGCTTCCTCGCCATTCCCACTTGGAATGGCTTCGGTGCCAGGAAATCGCCACATCACTCAGCGGCCTGGGCACGTCGCCGTCATTCATGAGCGGCTCCGCGGCCAGAGGGGCTCGCGGGCGTAACGCTGCAGGTCTATTTATATTTAAATGTCCCAGAGAGACACAGACCCGCTTTCTGTCATTTCCCAGACCAGCATGAAGAGCTCTTTTGGAGAATGAATCACTAAACAGATCATTTTAAAGTTGCATGTTTAGAAAGTACTTTTCTGCTGAAAGCATGTGCACACACTGGGTATGCATTTCATCCAGCTTTTGTGCTTTTTATCACAACTGCTATTAGTCCCTTACTGGGAGAGTGATGAAGAAGAGCGAACTGTTTGAGCGGGATGCTGTCCAGAGGTGCTGGAATGCATGTGGGGGGGAAGAAGCTGTGGGCTCTCGTCATGTTGGTGGGAGGCGTGGATGAGGACGTGGTGCTGATACAGAGTAGGATGAGCTTCCGGTAATCGGCCTGTAGAGTGATTGTGTGGGAAAGCCCATAGGTGTCTGCTGAAAGCTGAAGGCCCACGGCGATGAGCTGTTTTCTGCAGAAGCTGGATCATGTCAACAGGCCTCCTGTCCATGGTGCTGCAATGTTTTGTCTTGTGGTGTGGTGCATGGTCTTTATCAGCGGAACCAAAATTGAGCACACAGTCCGTGGCTCTTAAGTGTATTTTTTTTGCAGTATGGTGTGTGCTTATGGACTTTTATCAGCAGGAGCGGGATTGAATGCACTGTCTGTGGTGCAGAAACGTGTTTTCTGGGTTATGGTGTATGGTCATAGACTTTTATCAGTGAAAGCAGGATCCAGTGCACTGTCTGTGCTGCAGAAATGTATTTTTTTGTGGTATGGCACTTGCTTCCTGGACTGAAATAGACAGCGACCACCGTGGCATTACTTGCAGTCTGTGGTTTTGAAATATCAGCCAGTAGAGTCGTGTCACAATCCATGGTGCTGAGATAATTCAATACGTTTTCTGTAACTGTTTGGGCCACGTGCTGGGCTGCGGGGGGTTGGAAGCCCATCCCTGAGACTATGGGCACAAGGCAGGGAACAACCCAGAAGGTGGCACCTACCCATCGCCGAGCACACTCACACTCCATTCACTCACCCACGCACACCTACGGGCAATTTGGTAACTCTGATTCACCATCGCGTGTTTTTTGGACTGTGGGGGAAAACCGGAGAAACCAGACGAAACCCCACGACAACACGGGGAGAACATGAAAACGCCATGTACATGGAGCCATGGTGAACACTCAAACCCTGGTCCTGGAGGTGTGAGGCAACAGTGCTAACCACTGCTCAGACTGTGCTGCAACTATCCATGGTGCTGAAATATCAGCCCCAAACCCACCACGTTGCTCCACTGCCCATGGTCCTGAAATCTCTCCAATCAAAACTTCCAAGTTCTGTCTCTGTCCGTAGTCCTGAAATGTTACCGGCAAGCACTAGTTATTTCTGCCACTGCCCATGGTCCTGAAATCTCTCCAATCAAAACTTCCATGTTCTGTCTCTGTCCGTAGTCCTGAAATGTCACCAGAACAAGCTGCTCAGTTCTGCCACTGTCCATGGTTCTGAAATGTTCATTTGTATGGCTGCCCAGGGTGCTGAAATGTCAGCTGAGCAATTTGCTGGCACTGAATTGTGTTGCATTGAAGTTTGCGATATAGAAACATTACCCGATGGAGCGGTATTGTCTTGTGCTATAGCTCCTCACCGAAGCCATCCTGGCCTGCTGTTCATGGGAACAAGTCTCCCTATGTATTGCATCGGGGTGTGTTGCGTGGTTGTGTTTCCTACATAACAATTTGGATGAGGTGAATACACAGTGCCTCTGGCAGGTTACCAAAGATAGCAGCCCTCTAGCTCATAAGTCCTGCAAGCACTGTTGTTCTCTACCCTGACATCAGATATGTAATTAAATCCAGCAAGGAATGATTTACATTACTTCAACTGATGTTTACATCGGCGACATCATTAACCTCATTAATTTTATTCATTAAGCAAACCTTAGATGGTCTAAATGCAAATGGCCTTTAAGGGGAAGCTGTAACAAAATGTTAATTATAAACAAGAATTACTGTATATTATGTATTCATTAAATAACAACAAGGAAAAAATATGTGATCCCAGGTTTATGAAACTGGCATCAGACGGCCCGCTGTGAAAGGGGAAAGCTAACATGCCATTTTGGGGACGTTCTCAGCATCTGGAATGTCGATGGAAAACAATGAGGATAAAAAGACAAAACTTGGCGAAGCTTAATGAGAAAGCGGGGTGAGGGGGGAAGTCGTGGGGGGGCACCTCCGCAACCCAGCGCAGACTTCACCTCCCCCGTCCCGTTTTCCAGGGAGAAACAAGGCGGGCTGGAACAGCGTGAGATGACTTGAGGCTGGGGAAGGCTCATCTCAGCAGGGAGGAGGGAGCAGAGGAACGAAACAGCACACAGGTACATCGCTTACCAGGTCCTCTCATCACAGGAGGGAGGGAGTTACTGTGAGAAACAAAAACACCAGGAACGAGGGATCAGTGTAACCAATCTCTCCATAGAATCACATTCACCTCATTGACCCTCCCAAGGCCTCCTCTCATATACCCGTTAATGTGTCCAACAGCCATTCAGTCATTTGTCGCTCTACATCTCTACATCTGGCTCCTCTTTAGCCCAGTTTAATAGAGCAGTATTTTACCCAGAATTCCCTTGTAAGGTTAGGGTGTGTGTCCTGGGTTGGGGCATGGTCAGGTGACCAGCATAAAGTCCCCCATGCTGTTTCTATTGGTTACCACAAGTCCAGGCCTGTAGGCCCAACATCCACGTCTTCTCCATCTGCTCTCCATGTGATGACGGTGAAGCATCTCTCTTTTGCATTGACTGCTCTCCCCAAGTCCATGAAATCCCAAAACATTCAATAGAAGCTCAGCATAGGTAGCAACACTTATATCTAAGCTGGTTTTTTGACATCCGTGCAGTTTTTGTTGTATTATCTGCCTCATTCGTAAATCACTTTCAAACAAAGTGGTCAGCTAAATACTTAAATGTAAATTTAAAGTTCTGGTTCAGTCCTGTCATGCTATGGAACTTTCTTACATACAAATACATCTTTACTTATATTTTATTTATATGACATATAAATAAAAGAAGCATAGGAGTCACTAATATGGAAAGGAAAGACAGAGGAGTGGAAGGCCAGTGCAGCAGCTGCGCAGGGAGGCTGCTGCCATTACAGTCGGCTGCCAGAAGATGTTGAGGGGCCTTGCGGGGAGGGTGATGCAGGGTTGGCTCAGGCAGAACTGGCCTGCTGACCAATCACTGACCATTTACACCAAGTGGTATAAACAAGCATCTGAACTTAAGGGAGGTTAGCACTGCTGCCTTACAGCAAGAAGGTCCTGGGTCTGGTCCCCGTCTGCTACAATAAATGTACATGCTTGTGTTCCAAAAACACATCATTTTTCTCATACTGTCCATCTCTATTCATTCTGTCTATAACTCTGACTGAAGCGTTCTGTTAGAGCTTTAAGTCCCACCCCCGATGAGCCCAGTGTGCTCTGATTGGTCAGCTTGCCCTGCACGTTCCACCCCTGTCTTCCAGTCTGCATGCAGGTACACAGCCAATAAGGATTGTGTTATGAGGTGACCTCACCTTGTCAGGGAAGTAAAGGCTGGAATTCCAACAAGGTGTTCGAAGCAGATAAGAAAAGTGCAGTTTCTGTAATGGGAGTTACTCCCATCGGTGGGTACTGTGGGTTTTCACAGACCGTTTACATGCATATAAAGCTGTATAGGATACTAAAAGAAAGGGAAAAATCAGAAAAGCATTGATTCAACAAGATGTCAATGTAATGAGCTCTCACACTTACTCTGGGGTCAAATTGACCCCAAATGCACATGTCAGGTGACTTCTCATAGTAACATAATTATTGTAGGAGCTTGTAAGAGGAAGGGAAATGACTGAAACATCCAACGACATATTATCTGGAGGCCACACCCCCTATTCACTCTTACTTTCATCTGATTTGCTATTAGTCTCTTACAAGCGGAATGATGAAGAAGAGGTTAACTGCTGCATGTGCGTAAGATCTTTGAGTGGGACGCTGTCCAGAGGAGCTTCATCCTGTTGTTTTTTTTCCCTTTTTATTTAATCATGACTGACATTCTGTCCACCAGGAGAAACACAGGCCATTTACTTCATATGAGATGTCCTTGTTTTCGACGAGTACTCCAGCGGCTGAATTTTCTGACATTTCAAGCATGGGCGACATTTCACCGAACGGCTCCACGTCAATCTAAACAACTTACCGCGACGAGAGCCTCACCCATTGCCGAGCCTCGGCGAGAGCATCGCCCCCACACCGCTAGCCACAGGGATGGTGTAGCCGCTTTCAGACAGCAACCTCCGCACCAGGATTCACAGGGAAGAGGCAAGAAGAGAGTCACTTCAAAAATAGACCCCAGAGACGAGCGCTTATTAAAAATAGAGAGCTGACAGGTCAGTGATTGATAGTGGCCCAGCAACGTGGCGTGCAACGCAGACCCCCCCACAGACCACCTGGGGGCAGCGTGCGCTTAGCATGGCCTTCCATCCGCACGTGTGGGAAGCGGACGCTGACAAAGACATTAAATATCAGTTAGTCTAAAATTTAAACTTTTTAGTATGGAGGAAAAAAAGCACAATGTCTTTCTTGCAGAGCACATTTTTAATCTTTGTTCATGGAATAGTCCTTCAAAAATAAAAATTCCCCCTTAAACGCCTTTTCCTTCGTCACGTTTGCCAGCTGCCTCCATTTACATTCCAGCAGCGTTGAAACCTCTCACGTCTCTGCCTCTGTATCTATAATAATCAATCAGTTATCACTGTTTCCCACTGTGATAAATATTAATTCATAACACATTTGCATTATGGCAATGGAGTCAGTTACATAACTACTTATCCAGATTCACTAGGGAAATGCAGTAATATACCAGTATGAAAGCCGTATTCAAAACAGCCCAGCTGGAAAAGGAATGTGCGTGTGTTTAATATGGGAGAGCGGCAGGAAAGCCCGTGTTATGAGAGGCCTGATCCAGTCACAAGGGCCACAGAAGGCGTCATTCTGTATCACCGCAGCATCTGTAGCCGTCAGCTCTGGGGACTGACAATAGCTGACAACCCGATGGACTTTTTTTCAACGTGTTTTATTTTATTTTTATTTTTTCTTTGCCACCAGACTGAGACAAAGCTATCCATCTCTGATAGCATGGAGGGGAGCCTCATCAGTGCAACACAATGTGATTTTTCCTGCTGGGAAGGCAGAGAAATGAAGGTAACCGAGAAACATAATACAAACATGCGATATCATACGATAACATATTGCGTGATGTTTGTGTCGGCGCCATTGTGCTCTCAGCACTTTCAGCTGTATTATACATTATATCTTTATATATTGTCATTCCCAGCATAGTGCCCCCAAAGCATTTGCCCATAGCATCCTAAGGTTATTTGTCACACCCAGACACATCAAAGACTAATGGTGGACAAATGGGGGAATTCAATTTGGGGGCGGGCAGGAGGCAAAAAAAAAAAGCTGGGTGTGGATTCAAACCACCCCCCCCACCATGCCATCAGGCAGAGGACGCTGGCCCCCACCAGGCTGAGGGTGCTGTTCTCACCAGGCAGGGGGGGCCATCCCCACCACGTCGAGGACACTGTCCCCACTGGGCAGGGGGCGCTGTCTCCCACCAGGCAGGGGGCGCTGTCTCCCACCAGGCAGAAGCTGGGATGGATAGGTCTTGTCAAGTGGAGGACCTGTGATTGGTCTAATTAGTATCCAAAAAAAAAAAGTAACAAGTATTGCTTAGGTTGTGAATATTCATTGACAGAGATGAGCCTCAGTAAGTTCGATATGTTTCTTCCTTAGATCACCATTCTGCTGTGTCAGAAAATGAGAATCTCCAGCATCTCCATCCTCGCCATTGTCAGATGCGAATCGCTGAATTTTCTTTCAGCAGACGGTTGTCCCTAATTTGCTCTGGAACCCAGAAGTACCAAATCAAACAAATGAGCCCACTGCGGGAGGAACCGTCGCCGGGGTCGTCCCATCCCCCGTTCACAATTCCAGCTTTGTACTTCCCTGGTACATGTTGAGTGCTTTGATTTAAAAGACCACAGTGGAATAAGGCCATTATGTTCCAACAATGAGATGAGAGCTAAAGCTCCATCCAAACATCCCTGGAGACCATTGACAGCACGGTCCCACGCCGTCCTCCAGTCTAGACGCACATGCAAGTTTTCCTTTTTATCATCGAGACTCGTACAGCCCTGATAAGCACCAGTGTGGACAGGCTGGCAACCTGAGAAAAACCACTGTGCTGGAAAGCTAGCAGCTTTTTGGTTTGAAATGAATGAAATGCTACTTTATTTGCCATTTGTATCAGTACAAGTATTAGGATGCTCTTAAGCCAGGGGTCCTAGTGCAGCATCAGCCGGCATGAGGTGCCCCCCGAGGAGGAGGGGGGGGGGGGGTTAAGGGCCTTCCAACATCGAAATCAGTCTGCCACCCCTAGGATATAAACCAGCAACCTTCTGACCACGGACACACAGCCACACACCTCCCAAGATATGTGTGTTTTAGAACATATGTGTGCATTTATTTTTAAAAATAAATGCTCTCCCCTCCATTTTACTATTTTCATTTCCCCACAGCCGGTAAATGCTCTCTCCTTGGTTTTATTGTTTTTCTTTTCTCCTTGGAGCCGATGAAAATTCTGCATTTAAATGACTTTCCAAACATTTTGTACCTGCATTTAAAGCCTAAAATGCTCCGAAAGGAAAAGGAAGCAAACTTTGCCTATTTTTAACTTAGCTTGGAATTCCCGAGAGCGGCGCGACTGCAGTAATTTGCGTCTGTTTGCTCTCTGAGTATAAAAGCACTGTATAGAATATCAGTGATGGATGAGATTTTAAATCTGTGTTTCATGCCCCTCAGTTGCTCTGACTGCATCTTTAATGTGACGCAGTTTCTGTTGTTTACAACTCCAGTTGCTGCATTTATTTCATTTTTTCTGCAAGGTCTTCGCAAGGTCTGTGTGAAGCAGTTTGTTTTTTTTCTGTTTTTTTTTTCTACAGCTGGATAATCACAGTCACATACTGAGAAATCAGATTAAATGAGGTAAAAGTCTGAGACTGTTATTACAAATTATAGCCCCCCCCACTACCCCACTACCCCACATCTGGAATTACACACGCCTGTAATCACATTCAGTTTTAGGAAACATTCCTGTAATATGAGGTGTGCCTGAGTGAGCCGGGTAACTGTCCTAATCTGCTCAGCCAATCGGCAAAACAGATGGTAATGAGATGCAAAGCGAGAGACGGCTCATCTCTCGAGCGTCAAATTACACATTCCTGTTATCTCCGGCTCTGGACATGGCGGGGGGGGGGGGGGGGGGGGGGGGGGGGGGGTTCCTGACCTCAGGTGATCGACGTGAGTGTGTTCTGGGCCACATCCGAGAGCCGAACATTCCATTTTGGTTGACCGTTCAGTGTGACGTCTTTTGTATGACTTCAACTATCACTGCATCCTCGCTAATTCTAGCAAGACCGTTTGCCTATGTATATCTGAGAGTTCCTGTCCCCTGGCAAAAACTATTACGTAAAAAACAGCGCCTGTCTTCCCAGAAACATGCATTAATCACATTCCTCACAGGAATTCATCCACTATCAAAAAGACACAAGGGATTGTTGCTAGAGACTATGAAGGTTGTTCACTTGGCCGCCTTGAGTTCTAGCCCCCAAATCACACGGTTTTCATTGAACAGCAGGGAGAGGGGATGTAAATAAAGCAAATTAATTATAGCTGGGGAATTGGGTATTGTTGTTGACACCTTTTAGCAATTTTGCCACATGTTTTTTTTTCCTCCTTTTTCCAGATTCTATTTATGTGTCATTAATATTATTATACATCTATTATCCAACCACTCATCTGTGTCAAGGTCATGATCGGTATGGAGCCTCTTGCAAGCATCATACAAGTACAAGGCTGGGGTTACAGGCTGGACATGATGCCTGTCCGTCGCAGGGGACACACTCATACACACACACACACACACAGACATAGTCTCATCCCTATGGGCAATTAAAAGAAGCCAGCTAGCCTGACTGCTGTGAGAGGAAAAAAGGGAACATTAAGAAAGCTCATGTCATATGGGAAGAACATGGAAGCTGAACACACACATAGTGGAAGTGGGATTCAAACCCGCAACCAGGTCTGACAGTACAATACTGTCCATTGCATCACCACTGAACCCAGGGTTTGTTTTGATTCATTCATTTTCTTTCTTTCAATTAAGATACTATTTCATGTAAAATATTGCTGGAAATATAAAGTGTCCACAAACTTCATCCCATTGTACCGAGATACAGGGTAAGGAGGCAGCCGACTCGTATGATTGATACATTTCGAGCAACGCCACGCGTAGCAAGCCAAAGCAGCTAATAGAACAGCATTTCCTAGCTCATCGGAGTGGATCCGAGACACGGGCAGTCTAATGACGAGTCCTGCCTGAGCCTCACCGCGGTTAAGTGATCTCTGCGCAAACAACGTGATTTATGGCGTTTGCCAGCATCCTCCACAGCTGCCTGGACACCGACAGTCGCATCTGTCTTAACCCGCTCTGTGTTGACATGTCCTATGAGCTTGCACTTACATATAATGCAGCAGCATGGGCCGAGGGGGCGGTCTTACCACCAACGGCCCCTAGATATCTACTTTATACCCCAGTAATATTCCCAATATCTCTTTGAAACACCGGCGGTCACTGTGGAATTCGTTACAGCCTTATTACTACCAATGCAGTCTTTGGTGCTCACCACTAACACAAACATCAATCCCTTTAATTTTATTAACCAAATGTTCCTAGCGGAGGAATGTTCCGGAGGAGAGCCACACAAACATGGGGAGAAGATGCAAACCCCACACCCGCACAGAGCCAGGGGTGCAAGGCTACAGCGCTAAACACAGAGCCACAACGCCACCCGCTGACACAACCCATCTCTGCGGAATTCCCCACTGGTACCCCTGAACCTGAATTTTCGGCCTGTGGTTTGTGCTTCACAGTTTTGGTGCAATCCCACGGACGTCTGAGTCCTGAGTCACTCCAATGTCGCTTTGTCAGCCCTTTTATCCAAAGTGCTTAACCGTTTTACATTTCTGTGTTCCTCAGTATTTAACTGGAGCAATTCAGGTTAGGTACCTTTGTCAAGGGTGCTCATTTATAACAGTAATAACAAAAACAAGGACTTGGCAAGCCTGATGTAACTGGGCCATGTCCTTATGTGCAATGCCTTTAACTGCAAAATGGGGGGAAAAGCTAAAATCTAGGAGGACAAACAATGGCATTGTACATGTTTTACATTTTTGGTCATAGAATACAGAAGTGTTTGTTCCACACCTGCAGCAGCTACAGGTTTTAATGCAGGTTTTCACTCGTTTTCTCTCGCTACTCAAGGTTTCATTGCAGGTGCAGAGAGTAGCCCTTAAAGGACCCCGTGACAGCTCCAAAGGTGCCCGTTGTTATCGCCCGATCACCTGCATCTCTCAGGATAAGGGGTCACTGGAATCTGACGGATGTGGAATGGGGGTTGCAATGAGGTGACCGTAAATAGATTTACCCATAATTGAAATAGCGTGAGTGGTGTTGGAAATATGTTCCTCTATGGTTATAAAAACTCATAAATGTAAAGTTAACTGAGGGGGAAAACATGAACTGTCCATACATGGAATAGAAAGTGAGGCCAGTTAAGATTACTGAAGCATGTTTCCCTATACATGCTCTAGAACTTTCTTTCCTCTCTTTTTCCATACCTGTGAATCCATGTGTTTTAGGGTCCGTGTCACATTTCGCCGTTAATTTAATAAAGTGCCTAAATATGCACCATCAAAAGCCTGGCTGATTTTAAAGACCTATAAATATTGCTCACATTTCACTTCACCACTGAGCTGCTGCGGCAGCCAAACCCCAATCGCACGTCTGCAGGAGTGTCCTTCAGGCTGGGAAGTCAGAGAAGCGACAATATTGCAAAAGCAAAGTTAAACAAACAGGGCTAATTAAAGATATCCTGAAGCAAATCGCAAAAATGACTGAGTAGGTATGTGATATTGCTACAGAGGTGAAGGCACATATTAATTTTTTGAGTGCTAAATATAATGTTTTGTCAACAGTTTAATGCATTTATATATCAGCGGCTCATTATAAAAAGGAAGGCAAATTTTATTTCCTATTGCAGTATCTGCCTACGGGTAGTTCAGGTAGCATGCAGTTATAACTAGAAGCTCTGGCTGTAAAGGGCTTTTCTGTTTGCATTGTTATCCATTTTTGAATTGAATTGTTTGTTAAATGTATAATTTTAAATGGCATTGGACTAAATATGTAAATGAGGTCACTTCTGTGGCTCATAAGCCTCAAGCAAAGTTATTCATTTAGGCAAAGCTGCAGTCACAGAACTGTCCTCGTAGCAATTTTCAGGTGCCGTGCATTTCCTGCGTGCGGGCTCCGGCCGCAGCCAGCGGGGTGGCACGCTGTGTTTTCTGTCGCTGTTTCTACTGGGGGTGCTCCATCTTAAAATATACATGAGCCATATGCCCCTTATGCCCCCCCATAAGCAAAATCACCTGCTGCATTTGCTAGCTTTGTGTTTCCCCTGCAACCCCGAATGCATGCATGTATGCAAAAGTGCATGAATTTGAATCTCCTTTCCCCCCGGCTCCATCTTCACACACCACCACTGCAGCTGGCGATCGACCAACTCCGAACGTGGTCTGGCTGGGCCAACTCCCCCCCCCCTTCCCCTCCCGCTCGTCTGCACCTTGGATCAGTAAAGCCCTAACGAAGGAGGATGTGATGCCGAAGTCGAGCCCTTTCACGTCAATCCGCCACTTCCCATCGGCGGCCCCCGTGTGATTGATGAAGGC